TTTCCTCGACTATTTTTTTCCCACTGGGTTTTTGGTAGCGTGGTTTTTAACGAGACATGGACATGATGCGGTAATGTCCAAGGGGGAGTGTTGTAAATATTAAGTTGTGGACATTACCTGGATATAGGATTTGTAGGCATGGGCCAGGAGCCCATTAGGTAATTACTCATGTACATTATATTCCCTTATATATAGGGCTCAAGTGAATGAATAAGATGGTGGTTTTAACGACGTATCTCTTCTCTCTTATTCTCTTCTTCTTCTATTGTTTCTATCTTTGTCTATTTTATACATAGATTTTACATATTGTCAATCTATATTACAACAAAGGTTACCAGTTGTGCCCAATTTATAATTTTCTAATGCCTTGGCATTGTCCCGTTTGTAACGTGAATCAAAAAATTTGGAATTGGTTAAGAATTGGCCACAACAAAGCACACTAAACTTGCAACTCAATCATTATTTTGGTGAGTGCACCAAAATACAACACTCACCAATTACGAAGACATCTCCATCACTCCTACTAAATCTAAACACACAACAAAATTGCTAAACCTGCAATACTAACTGATGCATAAGTTATTAATTTCAGGCTAAACCTCCATCACTCCTGATGTGGTCGTCATTAGCAGTTCATGAGGGACCGGTCGTGATCCGGTCGTCACTTTTGTATGGAGAGAACCAACTAAGCACTTCGGTAGTCAGACAACTGGGTACCTCGGTCAGAGGGTGCCACTAAGGGTACCATCAGGGGCACCACCAAGGGTGCCGTCAGGAGTACTACCAAGGATACCATCAGGGGTACTATCAAGGGGATCACCAAGGGTACCACCGAGGGGATCACCTCGGCGTCAAGGTAGCCCGGCCAGAGGGTTCCGTCGAGGGAACTTGATAGTGGCGTTGAGATCAAGTTACGAGGAGGTTGATAGCAAGGACTCTAGAGACAATTGAGATAAAAATCAAGAAGACTTCTTGTCTCATGAGGACTCTCCAAAACTTCTCCTATAAAATGAGCAGGTTCATTCATTTTACACAACACACACATACAAATTCTGTCGTTACTCTGCCATTTTCTCTTTGGACCACCACTGACTTGAGCGTCGGAGTGTTTGCCGGGACCACCCCAGCGTGTTTTGCAGGTACCGGCGATCAAGGAGACGTAACCCGGTTCAGAGAGGAGCGGTCCAGCGGTTCAGGTATTTGTGGTATAACAAACTGGCGCCGTATGTGGGAAAGTATTTTTTCATCTGCTACCGGGGTATAAAAGGCTGTTTTGTCTCACCAAAGAAGAAGAGAACAAGGATCATGGCAGGAGATAGTTCGAAGAAGAACTTGACTAAGGAGATGGATGAGGAGTGGGCTCGGAGGGCCTTCGGGACAGGTCCCCCGCCAGGATAGTCACCATCGCTTTTCACCCCCAAAGAGACGCTGTTGGGCCCAAGCGTGAGCCCGATACCACCATTTGAAGCTCAGGGGCACGTGACGAACCTGGGAGGATCGGGTGGTTTGACAGACAAAGGGAAGGAGGTTGACGCCACAATTGATTGGGGAGCGGTTCAAGGTGTTTTGGGATCCGAGGGTGCCGGGGATCAGAATGGTGCCCTTGTTAGTAGGCAGGTGGTCGTGGCAGGAGCACAAAACCCTCCGGGGGACAATGTTTCTTTGGCACCACGGGGAGACCCCGGTTATTCAGATGACCAGGTCGGAGTTGGACAGGATCATTGCTGAGGCAATAGGTTGGGCTATAGAGGTGGATAAGAGAGCTCCTAATGAATCGTTTCGACAACCTCCGCCACGGCAGCCACCGGCACCTCAACAACAGGTCTCCTTGCATCCGCAGCAGTACCAGCATTCGGAGAGAGTCGATGATGATGATGCTAGATCGGTGACCTCCCAGTCGGTGGCAACAACACAACCGGATGGGTTAACCTTGGAGAGGTTGGCGGCCAAGATGCGAGAACACCAAGCTCGGGTTTAGGGTAAGAGACCTATTGTGTCACGAGGACACCCTTTCGCCGAAGATGTCTTAGGAGGGGATTTGCCTAGCAACTTCAGCGAGTTGAGTTTGTCCTATGATGGATCGGCGGACCCAGCTAGGCATTTGAGATCGTTTGACAACATAGCCGTGCTGCACAGGTATAGTGATGTTGTGAGTTGCCGAGCCTTCTTGAAGACGTTAAAGGGGTCGGCGCAGGATTGGTTCCACCAGCTGCCAGTGGGATCTATTGATAGCTTTGAAAAGTTTAGCTCTCTGTTTCCGAATCAGTTCGCGAGCGCCAGGAAGCACGAGAAGACGTATCTTACACTAATCAATATGCAGCAGAAGGAGGGGGAGACCTTGCGACAATATATAGCACGGTATACTAAAGAGTGCGTGGAGGTTCCCTCTGCCTCGGAAGAGAACAAAGCTGGAGGACTTACGCGGGGATTGAGGCCTGGGAAGTACATAGATTCATTGGCGAAGAGGCCGGCGAGGTCCTTTGATGAGCTACTTGAGAGGTGTAGCAAATATGTGAACATGGAGGAATTAGAGGCAGACTTTACCCGAAATGACAAGACGAAGGCCAAACAGGTAGAGGAGAGGCCTAGGCAGGATGATCGACGAGCTACCCCGAAGGAGTCTAGGGTCGAAGAGCGGTCCAAAGGTCCGAGGTACGAGCATTACAAACCACTTAGTGCACCACAACAGGAGATTTTGGAGACAATGGAAAAACGAGGGGAGGACAAGTTGCTGGCGCAGCCAAAGCCTCTGCCCCCACCGCGGAAGTTTTCGGCATCGAAGGACAGGTATTGTCGGTACCACCGTGAATATGTCCACTCTACTAATTTTTGTCGAGAGTTGAAGGATGAAATTGAGCGGCTCATTAGGGTCGGTAACTTAAAGGAGTTCGTTATCAAGGACAGAGAGCGCCAAGATGATCGTCGGGAAGGGCGCGAGTCAGGTGACAAGCGAAGAAGGACTGATGAGCAACTTGACAGAACAGTGAATAAGGGCATAATACACATGATCGTGGGAGGTCCTAAAGATGGAGATTCACATAGGGAGAGGAAGAGGACCTACCGGGGAAAGGGTGTTGCTAATGAGGTGGCCGTGGTGCAAGTGTAGAGGAGCTCGGGCACTCTAAAATTTGGAATTAATGATGTGCAGGGACTCATTGTCCCGCATAATGACGCTTTGGTCATCACTGCGGAGGTGGCCAGTTATGATGTGCAGAGAGTGCTTATAGACACAGGGAGCTCGGCGGACATCATTTTCCTGAAGTGCTTACAACAGATGGAGTTAGACGTAAAGGTCGAGCCGGTCCACACTACCCTCTATGGCTTCAGCGGCAGTGAGGTTCGCCCCGTTGGTGAAGTTAGTCTGACTGTGGCGTTGGGAAGGTCACCTTTGAGGAAGGTCAAGATGGTTCGCTTCTTGGTCGTGGATGCTAACTCGACCTACAACATCATATTGGGGCGGCCTACCTTGAATTCATTTCTGGCAACCATTTCCACTTATTGCATGAAGATCATGTAGGGAAAGAGGTTTGAGAAGTGACGGGTGACCAGCTGCAATCTCGGTGGTGCTATGAGGTTACATTGAAGACGACCGAAGCGCAGCATAAGAGACGAAGGGATGACCTACCTGAGAGTTCCCACCGGGAGAAGAAGCAAGAGTTGGGGATGAGCTCCCAGGACAAGCTGATGGAAGTTGAATTGATAGAGGGAAGTTCGGACAAGACAACAAAAGTAGGTCGGCATTTGGCGGTCGACATACAAGGCGCGTTAATTGCACTGTTGAAGGAATTTTTGGATGTCTTCGCCTTTTTAGCCGGCGACCTCACAGGAATCGATCCCGGGGTAGTAGAGCACACGCTGAACATCGATCCAACTATGAGGCCGGTGAAGCAAAAGAGGAGGCACTTTGGCACCAAGCTCGATGTGGTCATTGAAGCAGAGGTGGAGAAGCTATTGAAAGTGGGGCATGTGCGACCCATTCAGTTCCCGGAGTGGTTGTCCAATTCAGTCATGGTAAGGAAGGGAGAAGGAAAGTGGAGAATGTGCATAGACTTCAGGGACCTCAACAAAGCTTGCCCTAAAGATCACTACCCCCTACCGCGTATTGACCAGCTCATTGATTCTACAGCTGGGTGCGAGTTACTGAGCATGATGGATGCCTCTCAGGGGTACCACCAGATACCCCTCGCCGAGGAGGACCAGAAGAGGGTTAGCTTTGTGACATCTAAGGGCACTTACTACTACTTCGTCATGCCTTTCAGATTGAAGAATGCGGGAGCTACTTACCAACGGTTGGTGGATAAAATGTTCAAAGGGCAGATTGGTCAGAATATGGAGGTTTACGTCGATGACATGCTACTAAAGAGTAGGAAGGCGGATGATCATGTGGTGGACTTACGCGATACCTTGAGCACCCTACGGCGATACGGCATGAAGCTCAACCCGGCTAAGTGCAAGTTTGGGGTAAGTTCAGGAAAATTTCTGGGCTACCTAGTGACGACAAGGGGCATAGAAGTCAACCTAGAGAAGGTACGAGCTGTTATGGAGTTGCAAGCACCAAGGAACTTGAGGGAGGTGCAGATCCTAACCGGATGCCTAGCAGGGTTGAGCAGGTTCATAGCTCAGTCCGCAGAAAAGAGTTTTTCATTTTTTAAGGCCTTGAAGAAGGGGACGCGTTTCGAGTGGACATCGCAAGCACAACATGCCTTTGAAAGGTTGAAGGAGTTTCTAGCTGAGCTCCCCCTACTTACTAAACCAGAGCCATGCGACACATTAGTCATATACCTATCGGTGGAGCACGAGGCCATTAGTTCAGTATTGATAAAGGAGAAGCATGGGCAATAGAAGCCAATATATTATGCAAGTCGAATATTGCAAGGGGTCGAGCGTCGATACTCAGACGTGGAGAAGGCCGCCTTGGCACTCATCTCCATTGCTCGAAAATTGCGCCTCTACTTTCTAGCGCATAAGGTCATGGTGCAGACCAACTACCCACTCAAAGATACTTTAGGTCGTCCTTCGGCCTCGGGGAGGATGGTGAAGTGGGCAGTTGAGCTAGGCGAGTACAATGTTGACTTCGAGGTGCGGAAAGCTATTAAGGCTCAAGCGTTGGCTGACTTCATACAAGAGTGCACATTGAGAGATGAGAAGGGACCATAGATGGTGTATGTCGATGGCTAAATCGGCCGTAGAAGGAGCAGTTCTGGGCATCTTAGTGGTTTCACCCGAGAAGGATCATTTGGAATTCACAGTGAAGCTCTCATTTAGAGTGTCGAACAATGAAGCGGAGTACAAAGCTCTCATCAAGGGGATTCAGCTCGTCTTGAAGGATGGAGCCCGTCAGGTAATCATTCACTTTGACTCTCAGCTCGTGGTCGAACAGATCAGGGGTGAGTATGAAGCTAAGGAAGATCGCATGAAGAGATATCTGATGGAGGTCCATGCGATGTTGAAGGGGTTCGCGACTTGGGATTTGATACAGATAACGCAGAGAGAAAATGGTAGGGCCGACCTACTCTCAAAGGTGGCCGCGTCTCTTGTTGATTGTCGATCTCAGTCGGTGATGCTGATGGACATGACGAGGAGTACCTTAGACCAGATACTAGAAGTTGAAGAGCAAAGGGATTGGAGGTCGCCTTTAATACAATGGTTGCAAGAGCTGGTGGCAGGAAAAGATATCAGGGACAACCCGATTGGAAGGAGAGCATTGAGGTTCTACCTACATAATGGGGTCCTATATAAGCGATCGTACATAGGGCCTCATCTGAGGTGTGTCTCGGAGCAGTACGGAGAGTATGTGCTCAAGGAGGTGCATGAAGGATGTTGCGGTGACCACCTGAAGGCTAGGGCGTTGGTCGGGAAGGTGCTTCGGGCTAGATACTTCTGGCCTAAGATGAAGACGATGGCGCAGGACCTTGTGCGTAAATGTAAGAGGTGCCAGCAGCATGGTCCATTGATACATAAAGCGGCTGAGAACATGGTCCCGATTAGCTCGCCCTTACCTTTTACTCAGTGGGGGGTTGACATAGTTGGACCTTTGCCCTAGGCGACGGGCCAACAAAAGTTCCTCATTGTAGCAGTGGATTACTTCTCCAAGTGGATTGAGGCCGAACCCTTGGCGACGATCACAGAAGAAAGGGTGATGAAGGTTCTTTTCAACAACATCTGTTGTCGGTAGGGCATCCCTCGGGTGCTTATATCTGATAATGGCACTCAATTCAGAGGTCGGCGTACAATGAGGTGGTGCAAAGAGATGGGAATCAAACAACAGTTCGCTTCAGTCGCCCACCCCCAAGCGAATGGGCAGGCCGAGGTCGCGAATAGATCAATCTTAAATGGGTTGAAGGCTAGATTGGAGAGAGCTTCAGGAGCCTGGGTAGATGAGCTTGATTCGGTGTTGTGGTCATACCGGACGACACCAAGGACTTCAATGGGAGAGACGCCATTTAGTCTAGTGTATGGCGTAGAGGCTGTCATCCCAATGGAGATCGACCTTAATTCGGAGCGGGTGAGCACCTACACAGAGAAAGGAAACGTCGAGCTCCGCAGGGAGGCGCTGGACCTAGTGGACGAACTGCGTGACTAGGCGGGATTAAGGACGGCGGCTTACAAGTAGTGGATGAGGGTGGCCCATGACAAGTCAGTTCGAGTTTGCCGATTCCAAGTGGGAGACCTGGTTTGGCGTCATGCCGATGCCTTGAAGCATGTTGGGAAGTTGGAACCAAACTGGGAAGGCCCTTATACTGTTGAGAGGGTATTCGCGGGGGGGCGC